ATTTTGAATGAATAATTAACAATCATCCTGAACAGCTAATGAATATAACGAGTTTAACTCATCATACTGTATAGCCATGAGCAACTTGAGCTGCTAATGGTCACCAGTGCTACAAGTACAGAAACGACTCTTCTCTGTTTAATCACTAGACATTAGTCTTAGCAAATGGATGCCTTCTTAAAATCATTCCAAAGATAAGAGTGTATATAATGTGCTTCACTCAAAAGTTAGTTATGAAACAAAAAAAGTATGCACAGAAAAGGAGAAGAGGAAGAAACATCCATGGAGGATTCATGATCCAAGTTAAAACAATACAATTGAAAAAATACATCCTTGGCAAAGTTGATACTTCCATGAACACAAATCCAAGAAATGATATTCACTGATGAAGCTCTGAGTAATAGTAGTTCCAAAGAAAGTGATAGCTAGCTCTAATGAAGATGATAAGAATATGATAATCTCAGAATAAGAAATGTAATGCTAAAGTAGCTACTGGAGACAGATCAAGCCTTAAAAAAATACACTGCCAGGTTTGACATGTTTTACAACTCCAGCTGATGATATTGGTACAGAAGCAAGTACAAAAATTATTGAGTTTGTATCTAAGAAAAATACACAAAGTAGAGCTAAAACAAACTATTTTTTTGCAAAGCATAAACATAATTTAAAGAAGGACATCTAACAACTCACACTTGACACCTTTCAAACCAAACCAAAATTAATGTATGAACATGAATGTCATAAGTTGGAAGTTCATGCACACATGGAAATGAGAAAATATTTACTATATAAGCAGCTGTAGGGAAAACAATAATGTGCTCATTAAGAAACAAATGAACACAAATTGTCATGAGTAACTCCTAAAAAATATTAGACTGAGTGTATAACAGTGGTTACTTATAAAAAAAAGATTTATTATAAATTATTTACAAAAAAATTTTAAATCAAAAATACAACTAAAATGTAGATGAAGCATGCATGGGACTAAATGCCCACAATGTGGGTGAAACACACTTTGCAGTCAGTTTGTCTTTCCTCAGTACTTATGGTGACCCCTGTCTACACAAAATACCTCCACTTTTATAATTAATGTGAGAAAAAACTATATCATCACACCAAAAAATGATACCTTGATTGACAACATGGCTATAAACCAAATTCATCTTACAGTTACTTGGGGTATCTTTCTTGACTTTCTTAACATCAAATCAGTAAGAAAAACCTTTTTCACTACCCATAAAGACTGGATGGAACTAGCCAAATAAATTATTTCTGATTAGTCACATGGACATTTGAAGTACAAGTTGGCAAGGTCATCATATGACAACTTATTATTTTACAATTGTTAAATTTTTGCAAATATTTTGAATTCCATTGATAAATACTAAAATTAATATAGACATGTGAAAAAGCAAAGAAATTCTAGTCTGACACAAATAACAAACTTATGTTGTTATTTTGGCCTAAGAATAGGTTATATAGCTTACCTATTTTAATGCTACATTATTAATTTTATGATGTGTGAAAAATATGGATTAAATTAGTCTCAAGATTATAGAAAGTAATAATATTAAACTGTTACTTGTACCTACTGTTGTTGTTGTTGTTGTTATTTTTTTTTTTTTATTTACACACACACACTAACTATTTGTAACTAAGATAAATATAAGTTGGTTGTTGAAGTAGATTGTTTCTACCAGTAGTGAAATTTCTTTTGTCCTGCATATGTTAAGAAAGTTCTGGAGCTTAAGTTATAGATTTTAATAGCTCAGATGGCAAGCTAATCAAATGAAACCTTACTATTTAACTACTGTATGTCTTCTACTAATATTTTTATCAATTTCCTTGGAAAATATTGAATTAAGTACTTGAAAATAGGCACGCTCACTTAAAATAAACAACTTGTCATCACGCTATTAACAAGGACAGAAATCCAGATCTACAGAGCCAAAATAAATGGTGGGCAGAACCAGCAACTATTGTACATAACCAAAAAGAAAGAAATGTTACATCATGCATAACTCTATTTTGTGAGATTATGATACAACAACAACAAAAAAGGATGCAGTCAGTTCTGTTTGTACCTAAGTATCTTAACTGTGTAAAACTGACATAACAATTTAAAGCCTGCTTTTGTACCCTTAACAAAGTATACATTATTTTAATCAATTTTGCTTAATTAAATACTGTAAGATATCAAATGCTTAAAGAATTAATTCAAACATTGGTTTGTTTTTTTTCGAAATGCCCTATTTTATGATGATGAGTAATTTTCCAAGTGAAAAGTTACTGTCTCTAATAAGGTTTGGTTTTAGCCAACTGAAGAAGATAAGAGTGTACCATTCCTTAAGGCTTTATTCATATGCAGAAAGAAGTCAAATTTATCTCTCTTAAACATTGGTTTACAAAAAACAAACATCATTTTCAAACTCATAATACAGAATGAACCTCAAAATAGTTATTGTACAACAGGCTGTTTGGATTTATTGATTATTAGGTTTAATATAGTTTTGGTTTTATTAGTTTTATGAGTTTAATATTTTTACTGGGATGATTCTGGTAATGGAAGTGTTATATTTTATGGATAAGTTAAGAAACTTATTTTTATCTTGAGAAAAGGGTAAGAGGTGGTCATTTTTGAAGTTTATAACACTATCCAGGGTAACAATAGGATAAATGCCTCCAATTTCTTTAAGCTGAAAACAAGAGGATGAGCAAACAGAAGTTTAAGATTGAAAAAAAAAGAAACAGGCTAGGCTCCAGTTTATTTTTCTAACAGGGAAATTTGCTAATGGAATGACTTGCTATCAGCAGTAGTGGAGGCAAGTTTGGGAAGTACATTGACAATTTCCTGAAAAAAGAAAGGTTGGGTTTAAATTTTTACTTTTCTCAAAGTTAGGTATGAAAAAATAGCCTTGAAGGACCTATCTTATCATGTTACTATGTTTTCTTTTTAGAGGAGGGGAGTCCTCTCTAAAACTGAAGATGCAAAATAAGCATGATGGCATAAAGATAATATTTTGCAGTTCCCAATACTTCATCCTCTTTGGACAGCAAAAAAATGTATAAACAGACCTTTAGCTAAGTGACTATAATTTTATCTCTGATCAACTATCTATATTTATATTTGAAAAAACAAAAAACATTTACTAGAAAGACTGTAGTATATACCCTGCAAGATACATTACAGTTACAATATATATGAAATTTGGGGAACAAAGCCTTTTATTTTAAGAGCTCATTTCCATTTTAAAAGACAGAAAATACATTAACAAAGGGTATTTTTATTCATTAAAATCTGACAACTACCCTGAGAACCACATCCGGAGGATGGTGGGTAGGAGAAATATCTCAGTCCAAGGGGCAAATTGCAATATGTATATAGCCATGACATAGCAGAGTGCTTCAACCAAAACCTGGTGGTATCTGGAATTGTACATCAGGTCCATGGTAGGAAGGGTGCCATGCCTTTGACACAAGATTCAAGTTGTGACTGGAAAATCTACAACCAACACCAGACCCATGGGGAATGTACATCTGGAGGATGGTAGGAAGGAGGAATGCCACGGTGAGAAAAAGCAGTATGTTAGATATCTATATGATAATATGGTGTAGTGCTACAACCAAAACCTGGCGGCATCTGGAATTGTACATTAGATCCATGATAGGAAGTGCTATATGCTATCGACACCCACAGAATGACACCACCCTACTCAACACTGAGTGGTGTGATGCATCACTCAGGAAGATAGGCCTCCATGGTTCACCACCCCAGTAGCTTGGAACTGGTAAGTAGCAAGGACTCCACTAGAAGAAAGGAAGGAAAAATGCATTGGAGAGTCCAGAGGACTGCATCAACAGAGACAGTGCAACGGTTGACCGCAACACCCTATTTTGAAAAGCAGAGCTACCATGTTGATGTAGTCAATCAATCAACACCTGGCAGCATCCAGAATTGTACATCAGGTCCGTGGTAGGAAGAATCTCAACACCATGGAGCATCAGAGATGGGCACCAATCCTTGTCTGCTTTACACATGTGCCCATAAGTGCATATTCCAGGATGAACATATTTATGAAGCGAAAAACTGCTATAGAGAACTATTAGCGGCCCTACAAAACACCCTATCTCTACAGCGTGTATAACCTAATCCTTCAACATCATTGTTTCGGTATAGATGACAATTGAATGAAGACACACAACCAACACCTGGCAGCATCTGGAATTGTACATCAGGTTCATGGCAGGAAGAGCTACAACATAACTGACAGCAAGCATAGTCACATGATGGACAGTACAGATTTAAAAAAAAAAGTTTACCTGATCAGATACTACTCACCACAAAGAGGGATTCACGATACAATAGCAAAAAGGCCCCTAAAAAAGTAAGAAAAGTTGGAAAAAGCAGCCTTTCACAATTCAAAAATGTGAAAATTCAAACAAATAGTAAAGAAAAGCTAAGTCTGAATTATAAAGGAAAACATTGAAAACTTGTGAGCAAAAGCAAGCACATCTGTTCAGTACCATTGCCAATCGAGAAGTGATTAACGAGTGCAAGTGTGGAGAGGGTGCTGGTTACGATAGGGGTTGTGTTGCACTCCTATTGGTGGAGAGCTAGTGGCAAGCACTGAAAATTTGCACCAATAGAGGATAGTACTAATCGATAAAAGTTATTTTGTGAGAAGAGGTAAGATATCATATTGAAATTTAAGTTTACAAACATTCTCTTGTAATCATAACAATAATCTAAGGTGATAAAACAGATTTAATCAGTCAACTACATTTTACATATTTCTTCTACTAACCCAGTAAATTTGACAGTATTTGAATTGTACATTTCTCATCAAACAGAATCCATATTTACATAAGCATTTGAAAAGTAAATAATATTTATGCTTCTAATTTTATTCTTCCACGTTATGCAGCTGATAAACTTACCAGCTTCAAATTGTTTTTCATTTCTAAAGTTACTAATAAAGTATGTAAACCTCACAACTTACTTGCCACAATCAGTTTGATTGGCAGGCTAAACAATATTCCTTGGGTGGTACCAATGACACAGTTGTATTCTCCATCATCTTGCTCTTTGCCCTTTCCATCCTGGTGCAGGACTCTTTCAAAATACAATGAGCCATTCTGCAGTACTTGGTGCCTTGAGTCTTGGATTTTAATCCCCTGGAGTTGGGAAAGCATAGAAAGGTAACAGTGCAAAGGAAAATGTTCACAATCACATATATATATTCTACTGTATTTACATTTTAATGTTTAATTTCTGTGAGAATTTACCTCTTGTTTGCTAAGACAGACAGTGTTAATTTACTTTATGGAAACCAGATAAAACCAAGTATCTCACAAGTAGCAATTCCTGTTGTATGTTTAGTTTTCTTCAATCAGAACCTACTATATAAATCAAACTGTGATTACTGAAGATTAATCAACAATCTCAAAGATTTAATGGATTGAGTTCTACATTTGGAAATATTAAATGCATATCTGTCTTATGACTATAGCTTTCTAGTTTAGTCCTTTTGGACATCAAAAGAATATTAACATACAATTTCTTACGTTACAAAAAAATACTCCTTTAGAGGTCAGTACAATGTCACTTTCTCTTTGCTAAAAGACAGTGATAAGTTACTGCCATGGAAGCATTTCTATCTCTCATTATAGATCATTCTCATAAGTCACTACAATGGAACAAATGTTATCTTTCCTTTATTAACAGTGGCTTACAAACTTTTTTTGAGGCAAATATTGAGTTTCAGGCACAGCCACTCACTGATGAATATATGTACATTTTTCTTATGTTTTTATTACAACATGTATATTTTAAACTTAATTAAAAATTATTTCAATTTGAGATCACAATTTAAGAAACATTTTTAAAGCTATCATAATCACACTGATGTATCCTGTATGCTTTGTGCCACTTTTATTTATAGTTAATGAATCAAATAGTTTGTAAGATCTTTAAAAGTAGCCACCAGTGAGTCATGCATGAAAAAAATGATAAAACGCAAAAACTACCTATCCTGTAGCATTATTAATGTGAAGGATATCTACAAACAACTTGCGAGATGAACAGTAAAATGACTACAAAGTTGTCAGGATATTCCACAGATTATAGCCTGGGAACCTTTACCATTTAGGACAGTCTAATAAGACTCCACCATGTCCTATAAGAGAGAGTTAACATCGTTTTCATGCTACAGACTTATCAGTCTTATAATAGTCTGAAAACAATGATAATTCTTCAATATAATACAGTCTGACAAGTCACCATTATCATGTAAACCAAAAGAGCTGCTACAAATCTACAATAGCAATTAATAATAACTAGTATCACACACAAGTAACAGGCAAACCACAAAAATCCTCTGTAACCACCCTGTTTTAAGTCATCAGTTTGATATTAGTGGTGTTTGTGTCTCTTAACCCTGGAACATCTGACAAAGTTAGGCCTGCTTAGTGTTATTACCAAGCACTGAAGTAGAACTTTCACATATACTGCTTCTTGTACCATGCTTGTCACATTTGGATAATTTAGTTGTTACTATTTTTAAGAAATTTAATTTTGCATATTCTAATACCATAAATACTTAAGATACATATTGAATTAATTAACTTTAGTACTATAAATTACATAAACACATTTACTTTTCATTATAAGACAATCTGATAAATCACTACCATGAAAGCAGTGTTCCTTCTTCATTATAGGAGAGTATAATAAATCACCACCATGAAAGCAATGTTAACTTTCCATTATAAGTCATTATGTAATTTCTGTAGTGCATATTAGTGTATGATTAAAAGACATTTTAATACTAGAAATAAATGACCTTATAATACCAAATTTATAATTTTTTTTAACTACACACTCAATGTTTCACTTTACAGCTTCTTCAGGAACATTCCACTAAAACATAAACCATAACACACACAGATAACACAAACTTAATTACTGGTAATTATATATATTTTTTATTATATGGGAATGGTGACTTTTCTTTGCCATTGCTGTCAAAAACAAGAACTACTGAGATTACCATATTTTAGGTGTAAAAGCTCAATAATATGTGTCTACACAGCAAATTATCCACAAATTTAAAAAACAACACTGTAATTAACAAAAAAAGTAATAAAAACGGAAGCATTAAAACTTTTCAGTTGAACAAAAATTATTATACCTTAAGAACACAAAGAAAAATCTCAGAAGATACTGTGGTTATATAAATGTCCATAACTTACCTTTCAGAACAATATGGTTTATGAATTTTATGTATGGCAGAAATGGTTCTTGCATGGGAACTGGCTAGGCAAACTTTATTTGAATGTAAAAAGTATGTCTGCAAGCTTGTTTCTCATAAGTGCTTTAGAACTTTACTTTTTCTCAATGACAGAGGCTCCACTCCTCTGTGACTATAATATAATGCACACCAGTATGATAAGGGAAGGTACCTACTATAACTCCCAGATTTCAGTTGAGTGTATTACTCAGTTAAACATGATGGTTTTAATACTGTGGTAAAACTAAAGATGAAGTACAATTAAAGATCTGAGAGAGTCCAAACAACCGATCTGAAGTCAATTTGAAAACAGCCAAACTCAATTCATGTTTTTCTCAAAAAGTGGAACCTTGTTCTTTCTTTTTATCAGTGATTTTCAGTGATGGTCAAATAAACTACTATTTCTGCATTACAAATCATAAAAGAAGTTCTATCACATCAAAGCATTTCTACTAGTAGACATACCTGTTCAATACATGACTAAAACATACGGGTCAGATCTGAATGCTTACTTACTTATGTCACTGGGGAGGCCTAAGGGTATATGCCTGGTTTGGTAACAATCATTTCAGCAGTTTATCTCTCTACTTTTACGTATATTTTAACAGACAAAGAAAAGCACCATTTTTGATTGAATTTGAAAATATGGTTAATTGCACTTTACATAATTTTTCCAATGAAAAATAATCACACTATATGATTCCTGAGTTAAATCAACTTTCAGACTAAAAATCAGTTCTACCATTGACAAATTATGGCAAATAAAAAATTTTTGATTGTGGTGTCACTGATGTCCCACAAACCTTCAGCTGAGTAGATCCATACCACTGACATTAGTACAAACTTCCATCAGTTGTTGAGATAAAAAAACTATGCGACCCAATTGTTTGGTACAGAGAAAAATCAGAAGCAAACTTCTTTGCCCAGTTGTCAAGATAGCATTACATAAGATAAGGATCTTATGGACAGGTGAGATGGAGAGCTTTTTGACAGTAAAACTGGGATTAATAATATGGCAACAAACTTGAAAGTTTATATTGATAGCACAATACTGACAACAGATGTTTGTTCTAGTAATAACACTGCCGATTTGTGAACTCCAAAAATTAGATGTCGACGTGTGACCAAGGTATATAAGACAACGTATTATTTTTACTTTCTCTAATTATATGATTTTCTCTGCCAAGACAACAACTGAGACTTTCAAATATCATGTAACCCAACAAAATATTTATGATTACTAACTCAATGGCTTCAACTCACTTTATGTAACCAGCTGAATTGCAAGGTTTCATTTTCTGCTCCTGAAAATTCTGGACAGTTGAGTAGGAAGGGCTCATTGGGTAACACCACAACTTCAGCAGGGGATAATTGTGTAAAACGAAGGTTTAAATCTGAGTCCTCAGATCCTGAAATATAATAAAGATGTAGAAAGATAATTTACAAATTCCGTATAACTCTTACCTATATTTGACAAAAAATAATGGTTCTTTAGTGCATTATCTTTATAATCCAAATTTTTATTAAAAATACTTCATTATATTTTTTATAAATAATTCTATAAATATTTTTTTAATCAAATATACTTTTTATGCTGTTCTTGTTCATTCACACAGAACAGTTACTAAATACTTTTTATTATTGTCTATGTACAATTATTTTCCTACTAACTAACACTGCCTATCAAAGATTTGAAGTAAGAAAACACTAAACACACTACTATTACTACTTTTTTTTCTTTTAACTTGGCTTTTGCATAAAAATGTCAAATAGAACTTGAACAAATAGTTTACTCAGAACAATATTTAAAATTGGCTTCTTCAATTTTTAAAATAATAACAAACATGACATCTAATGTTTAAAACATGTCTGGTCAAATTTTATTAGCTTATTCTTATCAACAAAGTAACTTTTTAATTTACCTTACATATGACTGTTTACTTTCCTCAGGGAGTTGTGTTCTTTAGTGAATAGAGCAAACACCACGTAATTTTTAAAAAATCCCTTTATGAATCTCTACTCTAGTTTAAGTACAATTTACTGTTTACATCTATTTAGCATTATTTTTATGATAAATATTAATAAGTTGCATAGGCATAAGCAGCCAAATGGTACAACAATATCCTAGGAAAGATATTTTTATGAATATAGTGATGTAGAAGGAAACAGTTTTCTGTTCATAAATGTTCATTATATACAAGTTTTGCTAAGCTCCATCACTTATATGTATAGAAATTTTGTCTGTCAGTAATTGTACAAAAGTGATCATCTTGAAAACTATGATGAAACAAATAATTCACATAATTGTGTTCTGTAACTTCCTTAATTTCATAACTATTTAGTACAAAAATTAATAATTGTTATTATTAACAGCACATATGATCACCTCAGTCTAATTATTATATATAACAAAAAAGGTTGTTAATTGATAATTAGACTTAGGTGGTCTTGCAGCCTACTAATAATGACAGTGTTTGATATCTAATCACCACAACCTTACTTTAATAATACTGCCATTTCAGTTTTTAATCTAATACCAAATTGTATTTATTACAATATATTTTCAGTCAGTAAAAACTCATGTAAGTGTTAGAAACGTGTTAGCTGACAGACCCTAATTTCACGTTCTGTTCCAAGTTCCTTTCAGTATCCACCACCGTTATGTTCTTTACCAATGATATATAATTGAATAGTGTATGTTTTATTTCCCAGCCTACATACTTCTCCAGCAAAACCCACAATTAAAGGAGCTAGCTAATCTGATATAAAATCTTATAAACTATCATTGTTATAATTCCAAACCAGAGATATGCAAAGCATATGCAATGAGTTACTTTATATATATTTTTTAACAATGTATTACAGGCTTAGACAAATCCCGGGCGACTAAATATTTCATCGTGGCGCCTAATATTTTCTCCTAGTTTATTCGTGCGTAGAGCTGCGCTAAATATGACTCGAATCTAGAACAGTTCTGGACTCTTGGAAGTCTGGAACTATTTTCGCATTTTTTGAGTCCTAATCGAACTTTGTTTTTAGGATTGTAATGGCAGAATCAGCAGTTCTTCATGTTTTTTCAGGGATGAAGCACTGCAGTTGTACAATACGTTACTAATTTCCCGCCATTTTATTTTCTACTTCCTATTAATTCAACCAATCATATTATCAATTGGTTGTTGATATCATGTGATCATTAGCATGCATTCGTTGCTGTGAAAGTAAATAAATATATACTAATGCCTCGATTATCCGCACTGGTTCAAGGAAAGCAAAATATTGTGGTTAACAGAAACAACGGATAATCGAGGCACTAGTGTATCTCACTAGTTAGTCCATTCTTTAATCTAAATAAAATTATTCAATATATTTAAGTTCCTTGCTTTGTTTAATAACATTATCATGAAAAATGATAAGAGTCGCCATAATCGTAATAACAAAAGCCAAGTGTCTGTCGGTCACACTTGATTTCTCCGAATTTCGTGAGTTACACAAGTCTAATTCCACTTTTTCTCCTACAAAACTTCCTCTTTTGATTGCCCATTCCTGTTTTAGTTGAATTTAATCACTAATAGCTCCTGTGATTGTTTGTTTTTGAATTTCGCGCACAGCTACACAAGGGCCATCTACGCTAGCCGTCCCTAATTTAGCAGTGTAAGACTAGAGGGAAGGCAGCTAGTCATCACCACCCACCGCCAACTATTGGGCTACTAGGATTGACCGTCACATTATAACGCCCCCACGGCTGAAAGGGCGAGCATGTTTGGTGTGACGGGGATTCGAACCCGCGACCCGCAGATTGCGAGTCGAGCGCCCTAACCACCTGGCCATGCCGGGCCATCAACGCCTGTGAAAAGATAAGTTAAAAATCAGCGTAAGTCTATGCTTGGGAATTATTACGAAAAAGCATTTGTTAAAACAGACTGAATATACCAATTATGTAGGGAAGAGGACAATGTGTAACTGAGCGACACTCCAACACAACCTGAACATACACATGTGGTTAAAGGACGCCCATCGTACAGCATAGAACAGCGGACAACTGAAGTTGATTGAAAACTTTAAGAAATCTTAATGTACATTTTGTGTGTTTTTGTATATTATGTTTTTAATCACTAATCAAATAAAGTTAATTAAGCTACAAATATATTTTATTCCTGTCTTAACAGCTAAAAATAAAAGAGGCAAGGCTTGAACCGGCCGACTTACGATTTGAACACACGCCAGATCCTGAACGCGAAAACCCTGGATATCATACAACACCTGAACTTTTGCAACCAAAATTAATTTCTGAGCAACAATTTTTCCGAAGTATGTAAATTATTGTCCAGAATTGTAATGGCACAATTAATTTTAGAAAATATGTGGAAAAGAAAAAAACCAGGGAAAATCGAGGATCGCGGATAATGAAGGCATTAGTGTAGTCCCCAATTCCCGGTACAAACAGCAGTGAAGTTAGGTTAGGCACACCTGACTCCTAGATCTGAAAATATTTGTCGGGCTTCATGCATTATATATATAAATTGAGACATTTGAGAAGCGTAGCTGATATGACTAAATCATTTGTCTCGTATGCAGTGCCACTTTTGTTTTTAAAAACAACTTCTAATCTCATAGGACAATATTTAATAATTGAATACTGCTATAATGAAAACATAAAATCAGAACATTTATCCGAAAAAAAAAGCAACTGAGGATATTTAAATCACATGATTAGTTGAATTTTGGCACAGCCACTTATGACAAAAACTGTCCTATAATCTACTTTAAAACCAAATAAAATATCGAAGTAATAATGTAAAAGTCATTCAAAAACCCTTTAACCAGATCTATTTTTTAGGCCTTTAAAACTGACGGTACATAGTTCACGTACCAATACCACAAAACCCCACTCCGCATAACCAGAGCTATTAATTAGGCCTTTTTTAATTGGAGCCATTTCAAGCCTTTGTCAAGCGAAATGTGTAAACAATATTCTAAATTAATGGTTTCAGTACATTCGTTGAAAAAAAGTTGTTAGTGTGCCATACGATAAAACTGACGGTACATAGTTCACGTACCAATACCACAAAACCCCACTCCGCATAACCAGAGCTATTAATTAGGCCTTTTTAATTGGAGCCATTTCAAGCCTTTGTCAAGCGAAATGTGTAAACAATATTCTAAATTAATGGTTTCAGTACACTCGTTGAAAAACAGTTGTTAGTGTGCCAGACTGCTGGTCCATGGTTCACGCACCAATGCCACAAAACCCCATTCCGCAACTTAGGCCATGGGTGCACTCTAACAGTGACAGTCAAATCCCACTATTAAAGAGTTGACCACAAGTGCTGTTGACTAGTTGTCTTTCCTCCAGCCCATAAATTCAAAATTAGGGACAGCACAGTTAGCCCTAGCATAGTTTTGCATGAATATCTAAAACAAACAAGTTACAAGCAAGTTCACACTTGGATGACCTAGTTGTGCAAAATGCAGAGTGGTACAAAAATGTTGGTCCTTATAAAGAGAAAATCAATGTGTTTTTGGACCATGGATTTACTAATAAATCCCTCAAACTAATCAGCTCATGCAATTAGAGGCAGAATACCGACACGAGTACAAACTACCCTCAATTTCTGAAATAAATAATTATGAGATCCATCTGTTTACTAAACAGAAATAGCAGAAGCAAATATATTTGCCTTTTTTCAGGACAAAACTGCACCACAAGATAAAAAATGTTATAAATCGCGCACAGCAGGACGGAGAAGATTTTGCCATTAATAAAACCCGTAATGAAAGTGAGCCCAGTAATATGGCAGCAAACTAGGAAATTTGAAATGATAGCACCATAATGCCAAATGAAAAATGTTGAGGTGTGGCTAAGGTATACAGGGATGTTTTACTGAATGCATTATAGAGATGTAGGGAAACTTAAGCACTTCAGAAGCAGTCATTTCATTGAAAACACAACCACATAGTATTAATGTATTGTTCGGAACAGACCAGCAAATTTGAACAATGTATCATTGCTCTGTAATATATACAAGATAACCGGTAAACTTCCTACTATGCATATCTCATATAAGTTTTAACAGTACAATTTATTAATTATAGAACCCCAGTAGGTAATAATCCCCCCTATACATTTTGTTAATAAAAATATTTTATTTTTGTTTATATTAGCATAAATATATGTGTTTTGAAGGCAAAACAACATATAATGTCTTCTTCTTGTTGTTGTTTTTTTTTCAAATATACTCCAATCTACTTCTCTATCTAGCACTTTCTGGTCACAGATATTTCTCTGAAAAAAGTAATTATCACCTTGGCCGAGGGTTCCATGTTTGGGAGATGTTATCTCTCCGACCAAAATGCAGTGGCGTTTTATTGGGGGGCATAAGGAGCTCATATGGGAGGGCAGTGCTCTCCA